CTTCGAAACCAGCACTATTCGGGGCCGACCCGCTACCGGTGGGATACATGTTGTTCTCCAGTGGATGGACTTGTTTCCGCAGCATGAACATCGGCTTCCGTCCTTCGTTTTGAAGTTGCTTGAACAAGATCAGCGGCCTCTCCTCTAACCCGAGACACCGTTCCTGGTCACCATAGACGATATACAGTGCGTATTGCTTCCAGTCCGCGTTGATGTTGTACTTCTTCAGAGCCGCAGGGAGGACTTTATGGCAGGGATCATCCAACGATACTCGGAAAGACTTGAAGATCTCCACGCTCGGGGGGTCCCCAGTCGCTCGAGAGTCTGACCGGGTCGGGATGTCAGGGCGCGTGGCTTGCGTCGGGGTCGGATTCAATCGGTCCGAGCGGGATTGCGTCGGAGGCGTGTCGTCGTGGTGGTTGTGAGAGGCGTGGTTGATGCTGGCCGAACTAGGCTGTGAGTAGGCCCGTGAGGCCAGAGTCTGCGTGTGGAGGTTGCCTGGGGAGGTCGGCGACGGGATTCCTGGCGATAACTGGGCCTTTCCGTTCATCATAGCCATGTGGGATGAGTTGGCCGTGGACGGATCCAATCCACCGCCGTCCCCATACATGCGTCCTTCGTGGATGGAAGGTGGGATATAAGTAGGGGAGCTGGTTTTGGGGGTTGTCCCGCCGGTGTGTCCTCTCTTGGAGAATGTTCTCGAGAGAATCGAACCCGAGCGATCCAGGAGCGTGATTCCAGAGGGCGAAGTCAGATTCGGGGGCTCGTGATAGGTTTCTGTTGCAGTTGCGGGTACCGCCGATGGGGGTGGCAGCGGTTGCGATCGATCCTTGGCCATCTTGAAGACAGGTAGGAGTTCCTCGCGCAACCGGCGGTAGTCGTCTGCCATGCGCCGCAACTCTGCCTCCACGGTAACTATGCGTTCGTCTCGCAACCGGATGGACTGAATTAAACGAGCGACATCGTCTTGAGTGGCACCTTCGTTCATACTTTGGTCGGCAGCTATGCAATCATCGGACGTCAGCAAGATATTCCAGTATCATGTCGGGGGATACACGTACAGAGTGGAATGTAATGATCGGCGTCCAGCGGAATATCTTGCTTGACCTTGGTCTCGTAGACGCTCTTGAGGATGGTCAACCGGTGCCCTACACTAGCAATACCCATCTCTTTCAGTTCGTCATGTTTGAGTGCGATAAGCGCTTCGCCAACGATTTCGTTCTCTGTAGGATCAAAAAGTCAGCACGGATGAACATCGACCGCGCCAGATTATCGTCGAAGCACTCACCTAAAAAGGCCGCGCAGTACTGACGCAGACCCAAAGCGGCAACAAAATGTGCGCACTCTTCGGCCGTCCATTCTGTGATGATGGTCTTCGGCGAGCGGGGGTTATCGTCGAAATTGGCCAGGGTGGTCGGGGTGTGTTCGGCGGAGGGAAACTCGGACTCGGAGGGGGAGGCTTCCGAATCGGTGGCTAGGTGAGGGGAGGTGATGACACTGCGTTCGTACTCGTCGTCTGCATCGGAGTCGGCGTGATAGGAGGTGTGGAGAGACATGGTGGATAAGGATCAATGACCGGCAACGACGCCCAGCACGAAGAGGGAGATGGGTTGGACGTCGGACCGGCTGGGGGGAAATGAGACGGCGCCAGATGTAGCACGAGCGAAGTTAGGATGGAGGGTGCACGATCGAAAGGTATCGGACTGTCTTGGATGGATTCTGGGCGAACAATGGAGGAACTTTCAATAGCGCCGGTGATGAGTTTCAGGATTCGAGGTTCCGGGTCGGGAAGCGGCTCGTGTCAGATACGGCGGGGGTGGTTGGAGATGGCTGAGATGAGATGTGGGGGATAGACAGGAGACAGCCGTCGACGACGGTAGAAGTCAAATCCTCGAGGCGAAAGAAGAATCCGGCGAGATGTGGATGATGGCCGTGATTGCGAGGAGTGGAGTGGAGTTCCTGAGGCCAACCAGGCTAATAATCACAGGCATGCAGCGAGAGCGGGGAAGCTTGGGGGGGGGGGGGGGGGGGGGGGGAGAAGAAGAGGGAAGGATGAGGGAGGAGATCGGAAATGTGATGACGGCCACGGTGGAGGTAATGAAGGTGGAAGAGAAAGAGGAGGTTAGAGAGGAAGATGAGAAATCTCTCTACTGTATTGAAGAAATAATAAAAAGGAAGCAGAAGAAGAGAAGGAAGAGCAGGTCAGTTGAAAGTGAGAGGAGGAGCGGCAGCGCAGCAGCGAGCAGCAGCAGCAGCAGCAGCAGCAAGCAGCAAGCAGCGAGGCAGCTGGTTGGGCGCGGAGTAGCGAACGAACCGCCGAAAGGGAAAAAGAGGCGCTTCGATGCTTGGATCGCCTCACGTGATCTCCCGCGGTCTGGACCGGACACTGACTGGATGACTACTGTGTAGGTGGGAGAACAAACCCTCCCATATACTAAGTTACTATCTACCTAGCCCAGTATCCTCCATCTGATCCATTGCACACAACATGCAATCAATGCAATGAAGATATTCCCACTGGGGCAATATCACCGTTATCCTCCCCTGAAAAAGACCACCCATAGACTATAGTCTATCCTCTATCATCTCCATCAAGACGATCCATACTATCGGATCCATGATAACCTACCCCCTTTCCCGAGTCCATCCACTACTATAACCACCACCACATCCAAGCTCAACTATCCATACGATCCATATCAACACCCAATATTCCGATTCCGATATAGAACTAGTCTTGACGCCAAGCCCACCAATGTCTCTTCTCCCCTGGATTATGGGGGAGACTAGCGAGGGAACTATTTCGATCCCAAGGTCGGACTAACCGAGGGAACGAGCCCAAGCCCAAAGCTCCTCCCACCGTCCCACGATATTCTGGGTGCCCTGTCAAAAATCCAATAGTGCCGGAGCCTTGACGTTTTTGGGGAACTGGGGCCTTTGGTTCTTCCTCCGCCGCCGTCCATCGTGCCATGGCTTTTTTTTTTGTGACTTATTTTTGTCCTTCCTTTTTGCACCGCAACTTTTTTTAAGTTATCAACGCGCGCCCTCATTAACTGACTGAATTATTGGCTACTATAGGTTCTGGCCATGTGAGCCAATGGTGTTTTCGAGGTGTCTTTGCCAGCCCTATATCAACCGGAACGATATTAATCAATAATGGGTGCCTCCATTCCCCCCTTTTCTGGGTCTGAGTCTGAGGACCTCGGAGTCGAGGGACTGTTGGAGGGGCCGAGGGAAATAAACTCCTTCTAGAAGGTACGATCTAGTCTGCTCTGCTCGTATTGATTATCATTTCTTAAGACAGATTATCATTCTCTAACACAAAATTTTGGTAGAATGTGATTGTATCTGTAAATCTACAAATGCCCGGCTACATTCGGGTCGCCGCCACGCTGCTGCACCTATGACCCTAAGAACCCAAAGTCCAGGCAGAAACATTGTACAGAAGTACCGTAGCCATCATGCAAGGTGATCAAACTTTTTTTCTTTTCACAGGATCTCAATTCCGGATCTACTATCTCAAGCGACCAGCCCGGATGGGTCAACGTCAACGTCAACGGTCACTGCACTAAAGCACCCCGACTGGGCTCCATACTCTATGCTAGGTACTCTCGCACCGACAGGGGTCGGATTCTCCACTTTAATCTATGTGTACTCCGTCGAGTTCCCTGACATCTGAGTACAGTACACATACCGAGTAACTACTGACATCCGAGAAAAGTCCTTGCAACGGATGGCATCCCGAGCAGTCCCTCCCTCCCACGTCCTCGTCGGAAACCCACTGGGCATTCCCCCGACCGGAACATATTGCATCAATCTATGCGGATATCTGCACGGGAGATACTGTACTGCACAACACATACATCCACCTTGCCACTGGATCAGCCTCCAGCTACTACATAACACCTTCTGGCAAGCCAAGCAAGGGGACCGACATTTGAGGTCACACAAGCGTCTAAGCAAAAAGATTACACGAACATGTGGTGTGGCCTGCCCCCGCCTCCTCCCCCCCCAAGCCGTCGCGGCACGCTTCCTGCGCAGCCCCGATCAAATCGTCTGGCGGCTTTCAGCATGGAATAACCACGATCAGTGTAGTGTGATCAATCGGTAGATTTTTGGGGAGAGTGGGGTTCTCTCCTGCAAGCCCACGACTGTGGTACGTAAGGTCGACTAGACTAGAGTTCAAGGTTGGATTGTACTGTGTCTCCGGCGCAAGGATTGCATCGTGGTTTTGTTGCCTCCGGCCGGCGGCTGGCGCTAAGGTACCGGGGGCAATGGCGGCGATGTGCTATTATTATCGCATCGCGGTACCCTGAAGCGAAGCCTTGGGCAGGGGTATGGCCGGGCTGGGGGGTGCGTGGAGCGGTGCAGGGTTTGATGTTTTGGGTGTTGAGAAGGGAATTTAAAGTCAAGTGGGTTGTAACACTAAGGGTCATCAACAATAGGGATGTACCATAGTTACTGGTGGCATATCTATTCTTCACCACAATCAGTAGTTAACTGAACTGACGAAATGCTTGATCAATCAAGTGGGTCGATTGACTCCGCTACCAGTAGAAACTCGACATATGCAACACATTCATCCGCAGTATTCAGCACTATTCTGTCAAATTGCATCGCGGCTGTCTTAATGGAAGTACAATTCAGAGTAAAGACGCAAGCGCTGGCGCTGGGACCGACAAGTGCGTCGGCGGGTAACATTTGAGGAGGGAGAGGATGTGATCTGATCTGATCCGCCGGCTTCTCCGCCCGCTCGACAGTCCAGTTGGGACTGGATCCAGCCCGCCCATCTCCTCCGCCGCCTCCCGCCGCCGCCCGCAGTTTCCCCCCTCCGACCTCAACCCGTTTGTACTGTACAGTACAGTACATTGCAGTGTACAGCACTCGAACCCTCAACCATTACCGCGATACACTACCTGCTGCAACAAGGAGATTCACCTCGGCTCCAACACACCACCCCCAGGACGAAACCCCTACGCCTCCTCCCTCGAACCACGCCACCACCTGAACCACCACCACCGCAGAAAACCACCCACCCCTCCCCACAATCTCCAACAACCTCGACCTCAACCCACGAACCACCTACCTACCTACACTACCCTACCTCCAAACCACAACCCCACCCCAAAAAATGACAACCACCCCGGCCCGCCCCGACCAAACCCCCCCCAACGACCTAGAAACCGACCTCCTAACGCACCTAACCACAACGCCCGCCCTCGACGACCTGCACAGCACGCTCCTCGCGGCCCTGCAACGCACCGGCTGGACCGAGAAGATCCGGCGCCTGGCCCAGGAACTCCTCCGGGGGGGACGATGCGAGCGGTTCGACGAGGTGATCGAGGCGGTGGTCGCGTCCGCCGAGGGACGACGGCATCCGTCGCTCCTGCCCGCCCCAAGAAACGGGGCAGCGATCAAGAATGAAGATGATGATGCCTCGGATCACGCGAATGGGCGGAGGAACGCCAACGCCGACGGCAGCGGCGATAATGCAGCCTTCTTTGAGAATGTGGACGTGCGGATCCCCTCGGCTGTTGTCGAGCAGGGTGTCCGCGCGATCAAGGAGGTTCTGCGCGAGGTGGTGATCCTCGAAGGGGATGGGGATGGGGTTGGGGGTCCTGGTCAAACGGCCGGGGAGGGTGGGGAGAGGGACAAGGAGAGGGAGAAGGAGCAGACTACCACTACCACGAAAACGCCGGGCCAGAAGGATCGGGTCAAGGGGATGAAGAATGGGGAGAGTAATGGGGCCGGGGCCAGTGGGAGTCCCGTCAAGAAAGGGGAGAAGAAGATGAAGCTGAAGCAGGGGAAATGAGGAAGTCTGCTCTGCTGGCTCCTCTGCTGTCTGTGTTATATTCGATAAATACGTGGGAGTTCATGTTGGTGTTGGGGGACATCCGTCTGGCGTTTGGATTGTTTCGGGACCCCCCCCCGGTGTTTACGGTGGGCATTGCATTTTCTAGATACCAAATTCGACTACTTCGTTACTTGCACCTTAGTTTCTACAATCGAAACACATCGTAGCAACTTCTTGGCTATTAGATGATCAGAACTATCTTAGCACCCAGAATAATAAGAAATGGCCACAAAAGTACTTGTCAACCAACGTGATTTAGTCGAGGCTCACCCCGCTGATCTAACGAAGTGCGCATGAAACAAAGCATGAAAGGATACAGTTTAGTCGTAGAGGCTGTCATCATTGCCGGCTTCGCCAAAAGTGTTGTTGTCCGCCACCTCACCCGAGGAAGGGAAGCGGAAGAAGGTGCTGCCGCCAGAGTTCTTCAAGCTCTGCGCGAAGGCCTCGTAGCGGCGGATCTCCACATCGCTAACCGACTTTCTGGCCGACTTCATCGCCTCCTCGAAGTGGGCGCGGGTCAGCTCCGGCACGGGGTCCTCCTCCTCAAGCTCCTCGTCCTCCATCTTGACGTCCTCACCCTGGGCCTCGCGCTGCTTCTGGCGGTCGATGTCGGCGCTGATCGACTGCTTGATGGCAAGCTTGACAGCACGCTGAGTAACGAAGCCAAGATCGGCACCGGAGAAGCCGTGGGTCTTGCTGGCGATGAAGGAGATGTCGACGTCAGGAGCAACGGGCGTCTTGCGCAGCTGGGCCTTGAGAATGCTCTCACGCGAGGCCTGGTCGGGCAGGGGAACGTAGACCAGAGTATCCAGACGACCCGGACGGACCAGGGCAGCGTCCAGCTGCTCGGGTCTATTCGTAGCACCGATGACGAAGACGTTCTTCTTGGAGGTCATACCATCCATTTCTGGGACGAGTTAGCTAGGAACCTTCGAAGCAACAGCGGAATAACTTACCGGTCAGGAGCTGGTTGACAACACGGTCGGAAGCACCACCAGCATCGCCCACGGATCCACCACGGGACTTGGCAATGGAATCCAACTCATCGAGGAAGACGACGCAGGGGGCGGCGGCACGAGCCTTGTCGAAGATGTCACGGATGTTGCTCTCAGACTCACCGAACCACATGCTCAGCAACTCAGGACCCTTGACGGAGATGAAGTTGGCAGCGCACTCGTTGGCCACGGCCTTGGCCAGCATGGTCTTACCAGTACCAGGGGGGCCGTAGAACAGCACACCGCGGGAAGGAGAAAGACCGAACTTCTGGAACTTCTCGGGGTGGTCCACAGGGTACTGGACGCTCTCGATAAGCTCGCGCTTGACCTCCTCGAGACCACCAATGTCCTCCCACCGGACGTTGGGGACCTCGACGACGGCAACCTCGCGCAGAGCGGAGGGGTTGGAAACACCAAGGGCGTAACGGAAGTTCTCCATGGTGACACCAAGAGAGTCAAGGACCTCAGCGTCAATGGTATCCTCATCCAAGTCAATCAGGTCCATCTTCTCACGGATCTGCTGCATGGCGGCCTCAGAGCAGAGCGAAGCAAGATCGGAACCGACGTAACCGTGGGTCTCGGCAGCGATCGTCTCCAGATCGACATCGTCACCCAGCTTCATGTTCTTGGTGTGGATCGACAGGATCTCGAGACGGCCGGTAGGGTCCGGGATACCGATGTCGACCTCACGATCGAAACGACCGAAACGACGAAGGGCAGGGTCGATGGAGTTGGGGCGGTTGGTGGCGGCCATGACAACGACGTTGGAGCGGGCCTTCATACCGTCCATGAGGGTGAGGAGCTGGGAGACAACACGGCGCTCGACTTCTCCGTTGGTCTTCTCACGCTTGGGGGCGATGGAATCGATTTCATCGATGAAGATGATGGCGGGGGAGTTCTTCTCGGCCTCCTCGAAAGCCTTACGCAGATTCGACTCGGACTCACCGGCCATCTTGGACATGATCTCGGGTCCGTTGATCAGGAAGAAGAAGGCACCGGTCTCGTTGGCAACAGCACGAGCCATCAGAGTCTTACCAGTACCGGGAGGACCGTACATCAGGATACCACGAGGGGGCTTGATACCGATGGACTTGAAGAGCTGGGGGTGACGCAGGGGCAATTCGACCAACTCGCGGATCTGAGCCATCTGCTTGCGACAGCCACCAATGTCATCATAACCGACCTCGTTGAGGTTGCCCTCCTCATCCTCACGCTGGATGGGCTCGCCCTCGCAGTGGATGATCGTGTCCTGAGCCACAATACCGTACTCCGGGGGATCAACCTCAACCACCTTGAACTCCACCTGTCTCATACCGCCTCGTACTGTGAACAGATCTCCCTGTCGGACGGGTCTGTAGGCTTCGCGGAAGTAGGGGGCAAGGTAGACGTCGAAGAGGGAGCCGGTCAGGCCCTCGACGGTGTCGGCAATGGGCAGGACGGCAATACGCTTGGCCTATCACACAAAAGAAACCGCGGTTAGCCACCAGCCACCGCATGCTCTCCTTAGGGCTGGACTCACATATTTGATATCGGGGCAAGGGTGGACGGTGATCATGTCGCCGTGCTTGACACGGAGGTTGTGTCTGACGACACGGTTGATGCGAGCGCTGCCGTCATCGAGATCATCATCCGCCAAGACAATCAGAACAGTGTCCTTGCGCTTCTTGCCCTTGACAAGAACGGTATCACCGCGGAAGAGCTGGAGGGTCTCCATCGTGTTGTTGGAGAGGGCAATAACGGAGTTGTCATCGTTGACGGCATCCGTAACACTATTGACACGCACACGTCAGTATCGCAGCCCCCGCCCCACAGAACAAACGACGCAGGCAAACTCACATCAGAGAGTTGGGCTTCTTCTTCTTCTTGAGGATAGCGGTCGAGGTGTCAAGCTCCTAACAACGAGTTCATGTCAATATCACCAACAAGGTCCCTGCGGAGTCGGGAGGCAAAGTCTTTACCTCTTTCTTCTCGGCGCCCGAGGGGTCACTATGATGTATTAGCATGCGGGGCAGGACTGGAAATCTTCATCGATGGGACCTACTTGAGGTTGACCCTCTTCTTCTCGTGGGTGTGGTCTGGCTCTGCGCTCATCGTGATGGAGTGTGCAGAAAGGCGCGTAAAGCAACGTAGTCAGTCGGGAAGGTAGCAAGGACTGTTGCCGTCCCGGATTAGGCGAGCTCGGTAACAGGCACGGAGGGCAGTGAAGATAAGGAAAGGAAGAAAGGGAAAGAGATCTCAACAGACAGCAGGAAATGTCTGGGAGATGGCGCAATTTGGGGGGAGAGATGCAAAAGTGATAGAGCAGAATAGGTGGGTAAGTGGGTGGGGAGAGAGGGAGATGGGAAGTGAGATTGAGTGTAGGTTGGCAGAAGACAGAAGAGCTCCGGGTTGTTAAGAGGTGACGATAGCGCCAGGGCCTGTTCGGGAACTGAACTGATGACTTAAGCTGTTTGCAGAGATTCCTGAATCCTGAGCCACCCAAAACACCCACCGCCTTCCGCCTTCCGCCACCGCCTGGGGGAAGAAGAACCGCATGGAAGCCAGTCGTATCCACAATGATCATCCGCCTCTGGCCCTTCGTTGCTTTGGGTGCTTGATAAGCCCGGGGAAGCTCTTCGAACTAGCGATCTGAAGACTGGCTAGTGTTTGAAGCGGTCGATCTGGTCTTTTCTTTTGGCTTTGACATTCAGGTGTCATAGAGCTGCCGTGTCGATGCCTCAGGCAGTGAGAAGACGTGGCCTTAGGCATCATGGCGATCTATCACCAAGATAGCCTCTGGTCAACCAGCCTAACAAGCTGATTTCCGTCAAGTAGAAAAGGAAGAACGTTGACTCCCCTGGTTTCCTGTTCTAACTGTTTGAAGGCTGTTCTCACGTTGTGCTCACACATCCCTGAGGATGTCATGGCGAAAGAGTGTTCGGAGTTCACAGCAACTCTACCATTACTTCTGCTGCCAGTAAGTTAGCAAAAGAACGAGTCATGAAATGAATCAAGCACAAGGAAGCACAGAATCATAGCTAACGGCTTCACTAGCCCGCTTATCAATAAGGCCTCTTGACTGTTTTACCAGTTCAGTGCATTCCAGGTCACGTGGTCTGGTGAATGTACCAGCCTAGCGCTCCAGTATAGCATCAAGAAGGACTTCACCAGCGCACGCACACAGTGAGAGCGCTGCCTACAGCCATGCGGGTCTGCCTTACAAGTCGCCGACTAAGCGACGACATCATAGATCCTTATGGCGTCTCATTCCGTAACACGATGGCTCCCCATCTTTCAACTTCACATTCTCACCTTCCTTCCCACCGACTATGCCCAGTATCTTTGTATCTCTATCCTTACCTCTGAAAACCTGTTTCTGCGCGTGAACAACCCAATATGAGCCGTCGTCCCAGCACCGTCCGCAACATGGAATGTCTTCACTGGTACCCGGACAACTACAAGGTGGCCTATCACAACCAGCTGAACATGGCCCAGCTGCACCAGCTCCTGGCAGACGAGGACCAGCACGTCATCTTCGTCTACGGCTGTCTCAAGCTGCCCACTGTGCTGCGCGCCTATTGCGACCAGCCGGACAGTTTCCAGTTTGCCCGTCGAATGCAGCCGGCCCGCGCGGTGGGGTACCGACTGTACGAGCGGACCCCCAACGGCGAGCCGGTCATGGTGTTCACCGGACAGGATGACGACGTCGTCGAAGGCATGGTGGTGTTTGCGATTGAACATGAGGACGCGGTCGCCATGCTGCGCGGTGAGAGCAGCGGGATGGACGCCTGTCTGATCGAGATCGAGGCGGTCATCATCGAAGAAGGCTCCGGCGTGGCCGACCGCTGGGTCGAGGTGACCTACGCTCTGATCGTGTCCGCCTTGGTCTGGAACGGCAGCTTGGAGGGGATGCACTGGAAGGGAGTCACCGATTGGCCCGTCGACATGTTCCTGCGCTCGGAGCATTACGACAGTTTCGTAAGTTTGCCGTTGGTTTCCTTTGGTGCGATTCTTGCTGATCTCGGTTGGCTACAGAGACGTCCCGGCGAGCTCGTGTCGGAGGAGACCATCGACCCGCTGTTTCGCCTCTAGACTCAAACTCCCGGGCTTTCGTGTGTCGCTCTCAGGTACTGCTTCATTCGATGCGTGCATGACTCCTGGTCTGAGATGGAGACCTTCCGAGACAACTTCCGCATCTTTTATCTAACATTTCTACGCCTGGTCTGCGACCTATCCCTTATCCCAGTATGACTTTGCATGGCGTTTAATACCCATTTACGATACGACGACGACTTGATGCCTACTCACGATGTGATGCCACTTATGATGATGATAATGACATTGGCACGACCTGACGACTGCTGATTGTTAGCGACACATGATTCTTATCACATGACATGACATGACGGGCATTCAGGAGTTTTCAAGGTTGCTTGCACGTTTTTCCTTTGTTTCATGATCTATCCGCCTTCGAGGCCACAAGAACCGAGCCTCTAGCTCCAGCTGTAAATTGGATTTGGTATTTGGTGTGTTAGCTTGGATCCTGTATTTAGGTATCTAGCATGACAAACCTAATGAATACGCATATCCATGAATTCTATGGTCTAAATCGTAGCAAAGCGAGAAGAGAACGTGCAAGACTCTACCCCGACCATCTAGACTCAGATTACTTCGTAGTAGTACCGCCCCACGAATCCCAAACCTCCCACGCGCCCGCCATAAAACTCACCAACCCGGTCAACTGCTCCGGGAACCCAATCCCCTTCTCAAAGCACCAATGCAGGCACAACGGCGCCCAACACACATTATTCACGAGACTCTTCCTCCACGCGCGGATCTCCTGTGCATCTGCATCCGCTGCCCCGACCCCCTCCTCGCCTCCCTCTTTCTGCTTCTCCCGCCGCAACCGAAGCCTCCTCTCCCGCGCCAGCACAAAGAATTGCAAGAAGATATGCCCGAACCACGCGCGCGTGCTCCACAGATCCCACTGCACGATACCGCCCCACCGGTCAATGAACCGGCGGCTCAGGATCCCCTTCGCGGCGAGGTAGCTTCCGTTCTCGAGGATCTGGTAGATAACATTCACGAGGACTTGGAGGAGGGTGAGGATGTAGATTGTTCGGTCTTTGGGTGGGGAGCGCAGGGTTGCGGCGCCCCAGGTCCAGAGGGGGAGGAGGCCGAGAAGGCGCAGGGTGTATCGGGTTTCGGACATGAGGGCGGAGAGGGCTAGTAATGGGGGTTTCGGTTTGGGGGTGGTGGGAGAGGGTGGTGGTGGTGGGGGAACTTTGGAGGGGGAGTGTTGGGTGAGATGGCGTTGGCGGCGGAGACGGGCGAGGAGGCTTAGGCGGGTTTGGAGGGCGAGCCAGGGCGCTGAGGCGAGGAGGTGGTGTAGCGCGTGCGAGAGGTAACCTGTTACCGCGAGGACGCGTTCGGTACCGGCTGCTGTGGTGGTGAGTCTGTTCTACTTAGTATACTGTACGGTTGGGGGAGTGGCGGTGGTGGTGGTGGTGGTAGAGCGTTGCCTTGTGTCCTGGGGAGGAGGAACCTACTTGTCCAGTCGCTCGATGGTGGTATCGGTTGCTCGAAGGGCTGCCAGCAGCTGACGACGAGCGTGGAGGAGGGAGGAAGCGGAGTGTGGTGTTGGTTTGGGTTGTGGTGGTGGTGAGGATCCCCGCGTTGGGTCTGAGGTCGGCGATTTCCCCTCATCTTGTGGTGGTGGTGATGCTGCGGTCTCGCTTGGAGCTGGCTCAGCGATAACGTCGGGGTCTGCCATAATGTCTGCTGTATCCTGCGTCACTCATTGCAAGCAGATCTCCATGAAACTCGGACGGACGGGCGGAATGGGACTATATAGACCAGGCGGTCATCTGCATCTGATCAGCCGTCGGTGCTTGGCGCGCGTGCCGAGGTTCGGAATTGGCTCGGAATGGGAAGGTCGATGGAGTTGAACCGCGGGTCATTTTCTGATGGAGTTTGATGAGATTAGATAACTAACTTATCCTGTCTGCCCCATGCAGTTACAGTACTACACTCGGATGGACCTTACCAGATAGTGGTTTAGTGCGCTAATTGATACACTACTGTTGACCTTTGCTTTACTTCCCAATCTCATTACTATCACCATGTACCTCTGGCGACAACACCTGCGGGCCATTTCATCGAGTTCTCACTAAACCTTCCGTAGATCTCCAAGTACTCCTACAGCACAAACATGTGAAATGTTACCCGACCACAAAACCCCCCCCACTTCAACACCTAACACCTAGCTCAACGTCCCAGCAACAACATGACAAACCAATTCAGCGACCACGGCACAGTAGTGGAGACGGTGTTCTTACATCTCACCTCAACTCATGGAGAGGTCACTCCATGCGCTCTTCACCCGTCACAGTATCAAGATTGGGTCAACAAAATCCGACTCATCCGAGCCCACCGAGTCCTCCGAGTCACTAGTCCCTTCACAACACTCATCCCCTTTGTGAACTTGCTCCAGTTTCCCTTTACCCTTATCCTTACTTCCCTCTTCCTGAGCTTCCTCCTCCTCGCTGACGTCCTCCTCCACACCCATCTCCTCCTCACTCGTCTCTCCCCCACTAGTATCCCCTTCCTCCCCCTCAGCTCCCTCCACCCAATCCCCCACCTCCTGAACCACAGGCATAGCATCCTCCCAAACATGAAGCCCCGAATTAATGCAGCGCGCACGCTCCACCATCTGCCCAAACCGGAACAGCTCGCGCTCCTCTCTCACCTCGTCCGGGTCCGCAGCCATGAGGTACCCGGGGGCCATGGGGAACGGACAGGGGCCGCGCGGGCCGCGCGGGCAGGGCAGGGGTTGCACGTTTCGGTAACGCTGCCACAAGAAACGCCCATATCTCCTCGCACGGAGTCTCGTACGCACTTCAATCCCGATATTTCTCCAGGCGGAGGAAGCTTCAGCGGTATAATCCACCGGCGAGGGCGTCAGGCTACGTCCGAGGGGTTCGAGGATGGTCTGCAATCTGGCGCGCGCTCGCTGCAGTCGGTTGACGGGGGGTGGATAGAATTCTCTGGTGGCGGGGTGGGAGGAGGGCCCGTGGGATTGGCGGGGCGTTGCGGTGACGGGGTATGAAGGGAGGCCGGTGGTGGATGAGGAGAGGGCTTGATTAGGGGTTGATGGCGGTGGGGGTAGATGGTGCGTGGAACGTAATGTGTTGTTGTGGCGGGCGACGGGGTAACTGGGTAGAGTGGATGTAGTTCGGTTGCCGGGGTCTTCGGTGGATGAAGAGGTGTACGTACTAGTAGTAGCATGGGAAGCTGACCTGGAAGCTTCACCGGTCCAGGTCGACATGTATGACGGGAGATCTACGGTCGACCGGGACGCAGGGCTTGTCACTCTCGAGCCAGAAGAGGAGCCCTGAGAGGTGGACCCGGTGGCTGCGTTTGTGATGTAAGACGATAAGCGTGCGACGCCACGATAGCTCGTCACGGCATGTTGTGCGGATTGCGACCCGCCTCCATAGTATCGGGGCACCGGAGGAGGAGGAGCGGGGGATGGGTTGGGTCGCTGCCCTAGGTTGGAGACAAACACGGCGTTCACGACCACTCGCTCGCTCAAGTTGTAGGCACCCGGGATCGGGAATTCGGGTCTACACACTGCGTTGATGCTTTCCCATGCCCGTTCCATGTGTGCAGGTACGCAACGATGACAGGCCCGCCACTTGCAGTGCGGGATAGACCGCAGTGGGGGAGCGGAGGTGTCAGAGTTTCCGACTGGAAGCACGCCTTGAGTAGTGGAGTCTGAACTGCGACGGGCATTGTGCTGAATATCCTCGATATGCTTCACTCCTCCGGTCTCGCCGTTGCCATGATCGCCCTGCCCCTGCTGCACGCCCGCCGCCTGGGTAGTTGGTGAAGCACAGTTAGCATTCGAGCTACGGCTCTGCTGCACATCTTCAATCATCTGAACATGGGGCCCATCATCATCATCATCATCATCGGAATCGGAATCGGTATTCTGCTCCTCCTCCGCCCTGTGCATCTGAGAGAAGACGGTGGCTGCAGAGAAGCGCAGGTTGTAAGCGACTCTCTCCTCGTACGCCCGACGGAAGACAGTCAGCTTCTGCTCGAGGAGCTGTTCCTTTTGCGCATCGGTGTATTTCCCAGCCTTGATGGCGGCGACCATCCATGGACTCAACACCTCACCGTCTCTGGTACCATTGGGGTCCTCGAAGTCGGGCTCGTCCACGGCACACTGATACAGCCAGCCGAGCGCCGGTCTGCGCTCGCAGCGGTCACACACTTCGTGCGGATTCACGAGGGGCACCCGCTCCATTCGGCCATGCTTGCACGAGCGCAGCCCCCACGGACGATCGTCTTTCACGGCCCGGTTCACTGGCCCAGAGAATATCAGGTCCCGGTTCCGGTCGACACGCGCGAGGAGGACTCTTGCGATCGCTCTTCGATCGACGCCGTTGGCTCGACTGTGTTTGTTGCCTGCGGGGGACGGCGGGTTGGCTCTCGCGGTGCTGTGGGCTGCGGGGCCGGGCGAAGGAACTGGGTCTCGTTCGAATAACGGCTCTGTTGTTCCTCTGATGGAGCTAGATGTTCTGTCAGTCTGGATGTGACCACTTTTATCGGAGAGGGTAGAAGCTTGGCGTGAGCGGGACAGTACCTTGAAGACGAAGAACGAGGACACCCTGTGACACGCTCTGCAAAATGCAAACTTGTCTCGAAGTCACGCCCGGTCCATGGTCTCTGACTCTGGAGAGGGTCGGTCTCCTCAAGCTCCCACGGCTCAGAGGCGGGAACATGGTTGTGCTCGGTTGCTGCGCTTGGTTCCTGTTGTTCACGGCTATGCTCGATGGCTCTCTCAGCGCTACCCACGCGGTTGGACTCGACAGATTCAACTTCTACAGAGACATGGAGCCCAGACTCTTGATCATGTCGAGTATCTGCGGGATGAGATGGATTATGGCCAGATAGTGCTGCTGGGATCTCTGGAGACGTGTTCATGTTGGCCGAGGAGTCCGGCTTTTCATTGGACTTGTTTGCAGAAAGCTTTTCCATTTTTGCTGCGCAAGGAACGTGATAGAGGGCTTTACACGATGGAGGAGACGTGCAAACCGCCTCTATCAGACTGGATAGCCAACTGAAGTGTATCTATTCCGTGGTATGAGAACGCTAGACAACAAAGGACAAGAAGCATGGATGTATGAACACGGAGGGGAGACAGGAAGCAGAGAACAGGATACAACAAAATAGCCAGCTAGAACATGCTCTGTTTACGTGTGAACGTAACGTTGCGTCGGGGCAGAAGGGCATCGTCGGGGGCGACCATCTGTTTTGTTAGGATGGGCATAATGTCGCCCTGGCTGACCTGAGCGCAAAGGAGAAAGCGCAAGCACTAAGAGAAGCGCAGCCTGAGCAGAAGCTCACATGGTGGCAGATAACCCTAGTTCTTTGATGGATGAAACACAGCACTGCAGTGGTAGACTGTACTTGACCGATGCACTGGCTATCGATCTTAAGATACAAAGAATCTGCAGTGAATTCTTCTCTAGAACACCTTTGGCATTGGACTTAGTTACATTTACATATGTGTCTGTAAGTAAGTAACACGTGAGTCTTGAACGAAGGGGTTGAAGTACAGATATAGTATCTAGGAGCAGGACAGCGCTGCTGGTGGTGGTTATCACCTTCAGTCAACGTCAACTGCCTGCACTTAGCCGAAATAGGCTGGGTTTTCCGAGCCCATCCTGCTATCACTGCACCTGAAGGGCTTGGAAGACTGTGCAAGGCTGGAGAAGCTTCTCCAGCCATTGTTCTGGCTGCAACAAGGTGAAGATGAACAGAACATCGTGATTGCATACGCCGATGTCGATACAGAACGGCAGTTAGTGTTGTGGTTGAGTAACCACGGTAGTTCCATAGTCGGAGGTGACCGAAGGACAGCGGCGGAATCCCTACCGAGCTGAGCTGATCTTAGTTACCGTACTGTATGTAACTACTGTACCTTACCTACTCAAACAGCTATAAAGTTGACGCGAGGTCCATTTGCCGACCTCGTGGCCGGTTTGACCTTCCCAGTTCCCACTGAGACTCTCTCCTCTTCCGATTTCGCCCTCTCCTCACTTCTCCCTTGCCCTCGTCCTCCTCTAGCTTGAAGCTGACTTGTTAATTGTTGTCATTTTGCTGCTTTCCCTTCAGAATCCGGGGTCTGCTTCTACTTCGACTACTTTATTTTTCCTGCGGGTGTTTCCATTGTGACCGTACAAGCAATTGCCTGGCGTGTGCTGGTTCCAATCGATTGGAGTTGTAACCTCGGTAAGCACTGATTACCAGTCCTTGAACCATCCATCGGCTTCCAGCCTCCTCGTCTTTCCCTCCTCCTCCATCTCCACTTCAGCCGATAAACAAACCAACCCCTGGTCCGACCCTCTCTTGCGCGCGGGACGCCCATCCGACCATTTGCCTGCCAATTTCCCTTCCCCCCCCCCCCCCCCCCCCCCCCCCCCCCCCCCCCCCCCCCCCCCCCCCCCCCCCCCCCCCCAGTCTGTCCCCCAACATACCCACTCAAATCACCACACCTTATTCCATCCGCAACCTCCGTTGCTTCTACTGTCCATTGCAACCCTGAATGGTTTTCTTTTACTTACAGCTCCTGCGATCACTTTAGACTGTCTCCCCTACTCTCTCTCCGCAATTGTCGTCACCATCGTTATCTCGGATCTCCGATCGCTCATCTACCCACACCATCTAGATCGCGCGCTTAATCTCCTTCCCTCTATCCATCAACAGCAGCCATGTCCGCCAAATTCCAAGATGAGGCCGTCACCTCCCTGCGGCAAGACACAAAAGAGTTGGTGCACAAAGTCGGGGAACGACTGACTGGCGGGGGCTATCTCAACGTACGTTGGTCTCTGGCGTTGATATTGACAGCTTTGGCTGACTGGCTCCCTCTCGGCCGACTCTAGCTTTACCTCCGCCAACTGCAGCAAAACCCCCTGCGCACCAAGATGTTGACGTCCGGCGTGCTGTCTGGTCTGCAGGAGATCCTGGCGTCATGGATCGCGCACGATGTCAGCAAGAACGGCCACTACCTCAGCCCGCGGGTGCCCAAGATGGTGCTGTACGGCATGTTCATCAGCGCCCCGCTGGGCCACTTCCTGATCGGGATCCTCCAAAAGGTGTTCGCTGGCCGGACGAGCCTGAAGGCCAAGGTGCTGCAGATTCTGGCCAGCAACTTGCTCGTAAGTGTCGCACGCGATGCATGAGGGGTGTTCCACTCGCTGACTCGACCCACAGGTCTCCCCCGTCCAAAACGCCGTGTACCTGACCAGCATGGCGGTCATTGCCGGCGCGCGCACCATTCACCAGGTCCGCGCCACCGTGCGGGCGGGCTTCATGCCCGTCATGAAGGTCAGCTGGGTGACCTCGCCCATCGCGCTGGCCTTTGCGCAGAAGTTCCTGCCGGAGCACACCTGGGTGCCGTTCTTCAACATCGTCGGGTTCGTCATTGGAACCTACGTCAACACCCACACGAAGAAGAAGCGTCTCGAAGCGCTCCGGAAGGTGAGTCTCCTGCCGTGATGTGGTTGGAACAGTGCTAACCGCAAAGCAGCGTTACGACCAGCGTCGTGGGCCCGGCAGCGAGTACGACAAGGGCGACTACCGGTAAATACTGTACATACAAAATCCCCACCCTCATGACCATCGCTGGTCGATTGAGGGCAATGCGGCCAATATACCCATGACGACTGAGCCTAGCCAACGACCATCTCCCTTTCCACCTATGCCATCTAACTATACCACCCAGTCTATGCCCCCGCCCCGAATGATGTTTAATCTGTGATATGTCCCGCTCATGGCTCTGGCGTCACGACGAGTGTCTATCCTGCTGTGATGAACCATATTTACGTAGTATATCGCCATTTAAACGCAACTGAAAAGCCATACCTTATGCTTCTACCCTAGCACTGTAAAGCTGGATTAGTATCCCTCGTAGCAGTAATCACCCCAATCAACGATCCCCACCCTACAAAACTCCACAATAAGACGATAGGAAATCCATTCATCTCATCATGCATATCTACCACAACTCCCCCCTTCCCCCTCCTCCCCCGACAACACCCAATAAACTACTCAACCTCCATCTCCCCACCGCCACCAGCCTTCCGCCTCTCCCGCACAAACTCCACAAACTCATCAATCAACCCCGGCCATGCCCCATCCGCACTCCACCACCCCATCGTCTCATCCTCGCCCGTCTTGCGCATAAACACCTCGATCTGCTCCCACAGATCCTTGTTGACGGGCCGCCCGCCACGCCCCTGGAGAAACTCCAGCCACCAGTCCAGCCACGGCGTGGCCGGCGACGCCGACCGCCACGCCACGCCGCCGTGGTCCGGCGTGAAGAACAGCCGCCACTGCTCCGCCGCAAGGTCGAACTGGAGATTCCGCTGCCCTTGCATCCGGCACAGCGGGAACGCGTACCGGTACACCCGCCGGAAGAGGTCCGGTTGGATCGGCAGCCGCGCACGGAGCTCGGCGGCGTGCGCGGTCATTTTGGGGAGGGTGTCGGCTCTTTTCCGCGTTAGTACAATCATTCTTTTAGGGGGTGAGGTCGGGGTTGGGGGGTGCTCGGGGCAAAGGGGACGGACAGTGAGTGGACTGGGGAACTGGGAAAGGGGGAGGATAGGGTAGGGAACAGGGAAGGGGAACGGAGCAGGGACGTACCCAATGGCGCGCCAACCGGTCACAAACCCCTCGCGCATGAATTCGCCCATCGTGGGGGATTTGACGAGCTCCGCGATGGCCAGGCAGGTGACTTCGTCGAGTTGCACGGAGATGTCGCCCAGGTACCGCATTACGCCTTCGATGCCGATGGCGTCCGGGGAGTCTTCGGGTGAGTCTGGTGGGGTTAGTTTGGGGGTGGAACGGTAGGGAGCTTTGGGGGCTGGGGGGGGGGCTTACCTCGGTAGCTGTCGAAGATTTTGTTGATTGCGCTTGTGCTGGCTCCCGCGCCGGAGGGGCTTTGGAAGTATCTGTGTTCTTGAGGTTAGTTTGATGGATGGCTGATGGCTGAAGGGGTGGTCCGTGAGAGGGTTGGAGGTTTTTGTGTGGTGCTAGGCTGGTATTTGTTCTCTTGTAAGTCATATTGGGCTTGTAGCTTGGTCACACGGTAGAAGTAGATGGGCGATATCCACAGCAACGATGCCAAGCCATGCTTGACTTGCTTTGAGTCGATTCGCTTTTTCAGTGAAGTGCAAGCACCTGAGGCTAAGCTTTCCATCATCTGGCGAGGTAGACTGCTCTGGACCAGATCGTATGGCCGTCTGGCTGATGCCTTGCGCTTAGCGATTGAACGACTCCTGGCGAGCTGCCAAGCTACCGCGGCCATAACCACTGAGTTCCACGAGCTGGTCCGCCGGAGTAAAGTCCAGAGAAAGACCGATGCACCGCAAGCCATACTGACTCTGAGAACACCAAAAGAAAAGCACCGGCCCGGCACCCATGAAGCCGCAGCCCAGGCACGATGGGCACAAATCATCAGATGATAATGCTCCACAAGATACCCCAGAAGTGAAAGTAAGACCAGATCCCAGAACGAGAAGAAGGCAAGCACCTACGTATTGATAGCTTCTTCAAGATCCCATCGTGCCGCTTTCAAGAACTATACTCATCCAAAGCACGGGTTAGCCACACATCCCACGCACGTGATGCCCACCTTTCAGAGATCGGGTGAACCATAATCAGAGACATCGGTCGAAAATACCTTAGCAGCGGCTGTGTCCTTCGCTTGCGTGAAGTTGATAAACTGTGCTATTTGCTGCTTCTGCAGACTCGAGTAGGGCGGCATAATGATGGTGATGATGGTGGTGTCTGGTGGGGGTGGCTTGCCGGATCGAATGTTGATGGCGGGGGAAACTCTGCGTGCGCGCGGAAAGCTCAGATGATCAGGATGAAGGCCATGCACGTCTGAGATTGTGGGAGGGGTGTAGCAAGGTCACAGATGTCGGGGCGCGTGGACGCACATCAAGGTTGTTGAAGTTGCGAATACCTTCAGCTGGTTATTGGACTGCAGTTCTTGATTTGTTCTGTTCTCAATGGGGGGGGGAAGAGGAAGCGGCCGAATTGAGCGGTGGTTTCCGCTGCGCTGCCCGTGCACGTGCCCCGCATCGGATGCTGCTGGTTCGGAAATCGGATCTCTCGCAGTAAAGAGGTTGATCAGGGCAGCCATCGCCACTATAGTCTCGTCATTCACTTCATTCACTATAGTTCACATAACAAAATGTGAGCATGACAGACCTACACAAACAATCCGGTACATGCGCTTTCTACACATCTGATATGGAGAACTACTTCAGCCAAAGCTGCAGTAGTGGAATGCAGCACTACTCGAATTCTGAAGACTAGGATGATAGGCAGGATCAGATGATGCCAATGATATTACCTCATGCGTCTGACATAGTACAAGGCTAGACATCAGGATAAAGACTTTTCTAGACAAAACACCCATAAAAGAAAAACGACTCCAAAACTCCTGCGAGAATCCCAAGGTATCTATGAAAATAACCCCATGATCGATTCCGCGTATGCAACACTTTTCTCTAAGTCGTGAAAAGAGTATCTTCCTGTGCAACGGGTCAGCAATCGGCCCGTCTCTCCCGCTGAAACGCAAGCTCACCTCTCTCAGATACTCTCCGCAATCTGCTTGACGGAAGACGACAATCGCCGTGGGCTCGAGTTTCCGTGCCTCGGCGGTGGACCGAGCCGTGACTCCGAATCCCTACATTAATGGATCAGCGACCACTGCGACAAGAACTAGACATGCGACGAAAGCATCCTTACCAAGGGCGTGTCGTTCTGGTCGAGCACAACCACTCCAGCATGCTCCGGGCAGTCATCGGACCATCTTCCGACGTGCGCCTTGACAACGTTTCCCTGGGGGAGAAATCAGCATAAGTTCGTAATAATCCCCTGTCCCAGCGGCACATCCGCACACCCATGCCACGAGAACTTACTCCGTACAAGAACGGGGCGACACCGTTCGGCTTAATCCAGACCTTGAACCGCGCGTGAGGGGAGATCACGTCCAGGGCAGTGATGTGGAGCTACACAACGTCAGTCAATCGGCACCACACGGCCCACCCTTACACCCGGTATGCCCTTACTCTCATCTTTCCAGTCTTGGTAAGCTTGCCAATCGCAGTACCCATCGACAGCAAGCAATCGCGAGGAATGGAGGTCGCCAGGTTGGCCAGGGACAGCGGGACGTAGTAGATGCGGCTGCCGATCATGCGGAACACATAGCGGTCGTTGTCTTCGGAGCCGGCCGTGATCAGGTTCGAGATGGACCGCCCACAGTAGGCACTGAGCTTCTCAAAGAGCGTCTTCGTCTCCTCTGGAGTCGCGGAGTCAGCAATCTTGCTCTAATGGTCTGCAGCGATTGCGCTCGCTGCAGCAGAAGATTCCTCAGGCAAGACTAACCTTCAGTGAGTTGACGCATGATGAAATGTGATCGAAGTACGACACTGCGTACTCAAAGAACAAAAAAATAGACACGGGACGAAATCGGAACGAAATTGGGCTTGGGGGGGGTTTATCGAAAAAAGAGCAATCTTGAAGTCAAAAAAGCTCCGCGGAAACAAAAATTCTAGGCGGTGGGACCCGACGGGGAAGGCGGTGGGAGTGACGGTACCTTTTTCACTGCCCATGTCTTGGCACCAGGAAGAGGAAAAAAAAAGTTTCGGACAGTCCGAATCCCGCAAAAGGATCCCCCCCCCAGGCAGAACACCATTCACCGACAACAAAATGGCTCCTGGACGCACGACGAAACGCAGACGGGTGAGTCCCCCGGGCGACGACGAAAATGCTTCCTCGCGACCTTCTGGCGCCCCTATTAGCGACTTCCACAGCCATGCCGCCGAATGGGACCTCGAACAAGACTATGAGCGCCGACCCCGCAAATCCAGCAAGAAGGACAAGGAGCGCACCCGATTGCCCATCAAGACGGCGGAGGGCTTCCAGACCATGGAGGAGCCTGAGATCGAAGCGGAGGAGTCCGACAGCTTTCTCGGGACAGACGACGACGAGGACGAGGGGATGGACGAGACGGCCGCGGACGAGGACGAGGACGACGAGGAGGAAGTGAAGGAAGAAGCGCCCAAGATCCCTCTGAAGGTGCAGATCATCCAGGCGAAGGAAGAGATCGCCAAGCTGGCTACGTTAATCAACGAAGACCCGGAGGAGCACATCCCATTGTTCAAGACGATGGCCGAGATGGTGGACCCCAGCAAGCACGTTGCCATCCAGAAGCTCGCCCTCGCCTCGCAAGCCGCAGTATACAAGGATGTCATCCCCGGGTACCGCATCCGCCCGCTCACCGACCAAGACATGACCGGCAAAATCTCCAAGGAAGTGCGCAAACTCCGCAGCTACGAGCAGTCCCTCCTCTCCAACTACAAACATTACATCGGAAAGCTGGTCGAGATCACCAAGCCGCAAAAACGAGACGCCGCCCCCGTCGATGCGGGCCTGAAGACGATCGCGATCAACTGCGCGTGCAACCTGCTGCTTTCCGTTCCGCACTTCAACTTCCGCACCGAGTTGCTGAAGATCCTCATTAATCGGCTGGCCCGGCGACAGGTCGACGCGGATTTCGTCAAGTGCCGCGAAACTTTGGAGGACGTTTTCCAAAAGGACGAGGATGGAGTGGTGTCGCTGGAGGCCGTCCGCTTGCTCTCCAAGCTGATGAAGGCGAAGGAGTTCCGCGTCCACGAAAGTGTGCTGGACACGTTCCTCAGCCTGCGACTGCTGTCCGAATTCGCGCACAAGGCCTCCCGGGACCGGATCGAGCGCGAGCCCGAAGAGGACAACTTTGGGGGCAAAAAGCCCAAGCAGAAACGGGAGTTCCGCACCAAGAAGGAGCGCAAGGTGCAGAAGGAGCGAAAGGCGGTCGAGAAGGACATGAAGGAGGCGGACGCGCTGGTGTCGCACGAGGAGCGAGACAAGAACCAAGCCGAGACCCTCAAGCTGGTCTTTGGCGTCTACTTCCGCATTTTGAAGCTCCGCATCCCCACCCTCATGGGCCCCGTCCTCGAGGGTCTGGCCAAATACGCCCATCTGATCAACCAGGACTTCTTCGGTGATCTGCTGGAGGCGCTGAAGGAGCTGATCGCGCACGCCGATCGCGACGAGGAAGAAAACCACGCCGAGGAGGCCGACGACGAAGACAACAGTAACGCGCAGACCAGTACGCGGGACGCACACCGCGAAGCCTTGCTGTGCACGGTCACGGCGTTCGCGCTGCTGGAAGGGCAGGACGCCAGCAAAGCGGCGGCCAACCTGCACTTAGACCTGAGCTACTTCGTCAAGCACCTGTACCGCTCCCTGTACACGCTCTCCATCAACCCGGACGTGGAATACAACCCGGACAAGTCGCTGCGGCTGCCGGACCCGGACTCGCACGCGGCGCGGCACCAAGCCCCGCGATCCCGCAAGAAGGTCAACTTCCAGACGCCGACCGTGCTCCTCCTCCGCTGCCTCCACTCCACGCTCATCTCGCGGGCCCACGGCAACCCGCCGCCCGTGCGCCTGGGCGGGTTCGCCAAGCGCCTGATGACCTCCTCGCTGCAGCTGCCGGAGAAGTCGGCCATCGCCACGCTCGCGCTCATGAACCAGGTGGCGCGGCACAACGCGCGCCGCATCGCCTCGCTCTGGCACAGCGAGGAGCGCCGCGGGGACGGCGTGTTCAACCCGTTCGCCGCGGACATCGAGACCACCAACGTCTTCGCGGGCACGGTCTGGGAGGGCGAGCTGCTGCGCAACCACTACTGTCCCCAGATCCGGGATGCGGCGTTGGACATCGAGAAGATGATTGTGACCAGGAATTGAGGTGTTGGCTTGTTTATCTGTTTCCTCTCAGCGAGTGTGTCAAAATACCAGTTTCGATAATTCAACGGTTGATTCCAGTTGTACTGTGTGTGCCATTTCCTACAAGAACAGCCACCGTCTGTAATGTCCATATTACTTTCCAAAGGCAAGCAAAAGAAGAGACGATTGACGTACGTAAAGTCATTTTTATTTCAGTGAAGCTATTACAAAGCTTGCATCACCCCAGCGTTACATGCCATAAAAACAACAGAAGAAAAACACGTGCATCCTCCCGAATCCATGACTTTTCCATACTTTCCCATAACGCAACGCCATGCTCAATCTCCCAATCCATCCCATCCCATCATTCATATCTCATTTTCATCTCGTCGTTAATCCATGCAACCCATAAGAAATACAACTCATAAGAAATACCCTCCATAAGAAATACAAACCCAAGCCAACAAAAGAAAAAAGAAAAGAAAAGAACCCTTTTTTTTTTATTATTATTTTGACCTGCCACCTCCCTCACCGTCAGTTAGCCAAGCACCAGACCAAACCAACCCAAACCAACCAACCCAAGGACACCACACACACCACACACCTACCAGATCAAACCACCTCATCCTCCTCCGGCACGTAGATGGACGCATCCCGGTGCCGGGTGCCGCGCGTATACTGCACGGCCGGCGCGTCCGGCGCGGCGGGCAGCCTGTCGTGATACGCTTGCAGGTAGGCAGGCAGATCGGCGGGCAGAGGCAGAGATTCCACGCGCGGGGGGGGAGGCGGGGCGACGATCCGCGCATAGGGGTCGTTATCGAACATCCCCGGGTAGTAGTCCGGGATGACATCCGACTTGATGTCCGGGTCGACGAAGCCGCGGAAGGTCAGCGCGATGTCCTGACGTTCGCGGTCGTGCCAGTCTTGGCGCGGGGGTACGTCCTGCGCGATCTCCATGCGCGTGAAGCCGCCGGTGGGCGTGGGGATGTTGGTGATGTAGGTTGTGTCGCGCGGTTTGGTGGTGTGCGTGGTGGTGGTTACGGTGGCCGGGGTGCGTGGAGTAGGGGTGCTGGGCTTGCGGGCGCGGGCCGTAGCCTCCTGCTGCTTGGCCTTCGACACGATGGTGTTGATGTTTGTGACGATGGTCTGTACGGTGGCCGTGGGTCGGGGGAGGTTCGATGGTTCGGCCGCGGTGGTGGTGGTGGGAGTGCTGTTGGCGGGTTTGACGCTGGCGCTGGGCGACGATACGGTTGCCTGTATGTTCGCGACATGGGTGCTCTTGATGCTCGAGCCGGCCGATGCGGTCGTCTGTTTGTTCAAGGCAGTGGCACTCTTAGCGCTCAAATTCGAGACGCTCTTCTTCGACAGACTCGCCATACTCTTCTTTGACAAGCTCGAGACCACGCTCTTCTTCGACATGAACCCCTTCACATCCTCCCGGTACTCAAAGTCCAGCACCTTGGCCGCCTTGCCCAGATTCTGCTTCTGTCGGGGGTCTGGCCTGGACCGGCGCCCGGGCCCGTTCATGAAGCGGTGGTACTTCTTGGTCGCCCACTGGGAGCCGTAGTGGCGTGCGATCGGACTGTTCTCATTGACCTCCTCGTGGCCGTACCGATCCAGATCCAGAATGTAGTGGTGGTTGCTGGGGGTGCTGGGCTTGGAGGCGATCAGCTTCGCGGTCTCGGTCTTTATGACTTCCTCCCAGGGTGTAGACGGGCCGGCGGCCTCGATGGCGCGGATGAAGTGGCGATCCAACGCGGTGCGCATGCCCTCGGGAACCTGTCGGGGATCGCTGTACGGGGTGTCTGGAGACTTTTTGGCAGGAGGCTCCTCCGCGACTGCAGGTTCGGTTTTAATCTGGCTCTGAGGAGTGCGTGGGCTCTTGTCGTCCGCGGTCTGGCGGTGATCATGGCGATGCTGGACCTCTGTGCCGGTCTGGCTGGACGGATTGATGTTCTTCAGGTTGAGGGAATGAGGCTTGTGCTTCTGAGGTTTGTGCTCCAGCTCATTGCGAGGCTTGAGCTGAGCTTTTGTCTTTAACTCTCGAAGGGGTTCGATTGGCGCCGCTGCCTCCGCTTTCGCTCTGGTGTTGCTGGGCTTACCCGGACGCACGTAGCCCCATACCTCTTTGAGGTCAGGGACCCTCATCGTCGCAGCTACCGCAGGGTCCAAGTTGGGGTAGTCGGCGACATTCACGGATTTCTTGGACCGAGTGCTTGGGGTGGACTGAGCGGTGTTGCTGGAGGGTGAGGCTTCTTGCTGAGTGGGTGAGGGGAGCTCAGCTTTATCTTTATCAGGTGTTGACACCTCGCACTGTGCAATACGGTTTTCAGATGCGGATGTCTTGGGGTGACTGGTGGTCGACTGAAGGGGGTCCTTGGAGGGTGAGTTTGTGTCCTGGGCAGGTGAGGGAATATCAGGCTGATATTTGTTAGATGTCAACACCTCGCCCGGCTTAACACGGCACTCAGAAGTGGGTTCCGCAGGGCGAGTGGTAGTGGTAGACTGAGGAGGGGTGGTAGAGGATAAGGTTGCGTCGTGGGCAGGTGAGGGAATATCAGGTTGATATTTGTTAGATGCCAACCCCTCACACAGGCTAACACGGCTCTCAGACGCAGATTCCTTCGCACGAGCAATAGTGCCAGACTGCACAGTGGTGTCAGAAAGTGAGGCTTTGTCGTGGGCAGGTGAGTGCAACGCAGCCTGCTCTTCATCTGGTGTCGACACCACACACTGCT